GGTAGATACTTTGATAAACGAATAGCAGAACATAAAAGGGCTTTCAATATTATAAAAACATATTCTACACACACACTTCACCTTGTAGATCATAATCATTCTTTTAATGACGGACGAATTTAAAATTCTTCACATTCAAAATAATGGAAATTAACAAATTAAAAAACACAGATATAATTCTGAATGACTAATTTGAGACAAACAGTTCTCCCTTACTCAACCTATTCCATTAAAGACTATAAAGTGTAAACGCATGCCAAAAATAGATTACTTCAATAAACCGAAACAGCTGTAGTGATAAAATATTCTAATAAATTTTGTGAAAGTTTTGCAAACAAAGTTTTCAGTGTTTTATTGTTACATAAAATAAATTTTCATCAAGTAACGGTCGAATCCGTCAATTATTATGTTGTCAATGACAATAGTCAATTAAGTACATGTATATAAAATATATATATAAATATTTTTAGAAAAAACTGTTTAATTTTACAATAAAAGCTTATGGGAGCGTTCATCCCTAACATCAGCATTTAAATGGCTTTGTTTTGAAATTGAAAAAATAATGCAAAACATAAAGAGCCATTCTATTTAATTGAATGTCGATAGCCCTTTGAGTTTAACCTTTGTCATGATGAGGATAGAAATATTTTATGAACATATTCAAAATATAAAAGCGACTGAATATAGTCGAACTCGCTCATCAAAGTTTTTGTTTTGGATTAACACCAAGTTTTTTTTCTACTCACAATTAGAGATACAACTTTCTGCTTTTCCATTCACAAATATCATCAATCTTAAAATTGTCCACCATGCGAATTACCTTGTAATTTGAACGGTGAGATTTATTTAGATTTTTTGTAAACTATTAACTTTATTAAAGGCATTTTATAACAAACATTAGAAGTATTGACGTTTTTGTCTAATTTTCTTTCGTTGCCTGGAGTAATTACGTTAAATCAGAATTACGTAGTTGATTTTTAAAATGCGATTATCTCGAAAACTGTTGAGTTTTGAAGTTATTACCAGGTATAACTTTTTTGTGTTAAAGTAATGTATCTTTAATATTGTTTATCACAAACACCGGTAACTTTAAGCGCAAAAAAGATAAGTGCAAATGTATGCCACATATTTGGCAGAGAGGATTCACTCCCCGCCTCTCGACGCGTTAGTGTTCTGAGCTGTTGGACGTGAATCCCTGTCCTGGCATTTGGTTTTCACCTCTGGCTGCGTTGAGTAGTTGAGTTACTGTGACCAAATGCCCATCTTGCTAGTTAGTATTCGCCTCTGGTTGCGTTGAGTAACTGAGTTACCGTTGCTAACTACCCATCTTCCTGTCTTTTGTTTTCTTTTTCTTTTTCTTTGTTCTCCTGAAGAAGCTACATACAATTGTAGCGAAACGTCGAGATGAACCCACTTTTGGGTCACTCACAAATGACACGGTCCAAACCCGGAAGACGAATAAACTATAATTCTGACTCTGGCCGTGGAAGCCTACGATTTCATTTAAATCTTTTACACATGTCACACCTTTTTGAATATTTATTGTCACTACCAGAACAAGAATAACAACGACCTCGTTTTGTTGCAGATTTCGGCACTTCGATTTGCTTTTTTTACACTAACACCTGTGGTCTCTATTGCAGCGATTACGGGTTTAAGGTATCCGCTGGGTTCTTCTTGTATTGCTTCCGCTGTTTGTTTTATATTGGGCGAGGTTAATTGTTTTCCAAGCTCCTCCAGAAATAGTTTTCTGCGATGTTTTATATTTACTTGGCTGTTCCATTCAGGATTTTTCGTATTCCAGAGAACGAAAGCATTGTAGCACGCAATATCCAAAAAGTTGAAAAATATACGTAAGGGCCATCTTCTTGTTGCTCTTTTACATGTGTGCTCTCTGATCAATTTATCTAAAATATCGACTCCACTTTTGGTTTTGTTGTAATCCAAAATAATCTTTGGTTTAAATTTTTGGTTTTCATCAGAAATTTCATGTTCATTGTGTAAGGCCGATAATAATTATTAGACTTGGTTACATATGAAACTAAGGTAATGTTTTTATTGAACAAAAATTTTGAAGAATACAGTGAGCGATCTGTCATTTCAAGCAATAATTTGGGTAAACTCTTCCTATTTTTTCTGATAGTACCCAAAAGAGTTAAATTTTTGGTTAACAGTTCTTCAGATAAAGCAATATCGGTAAAACAGTTATCAGTTGTAATATTTCGACCAGACCTATACCAATGTTCTGCAAGTGTTTTGACAACTCTTGGGCCTTGGTTACGTTTAGATTGATCACCAATCTTTCCAGTATATATCTCAAAGTTACAGCAATAAAAAATTTCAGCGTCACATAGGGTCTAAGCCTTTCTACCGTATTTCTTTGGTTTACTTGGTATATAAACCAGAAATGGACAACGTCCCCTAAAATCTATACGCTGCTCGTCAATAGTACCAAAAGCAGATGGTTCGTATGATTCCCTACAATTTTGGGCAAATAGATCAGCGATTTCTCGAATAGAAGCTGATTTATCTCGTTCTCTTCTTTCTGCTCTCGTTTCCAAATTATCAAAGCGAATATGCTTCAAAATACTGATAAATCTATCCCGGCTTAGAGATGCTTTATAGATAGGACGCGTAAATGCATTATTTGTATTGGACCATAAATTATGCACCTTCTCATTGGACTCTCTGAACCTTCCACATAATATAAGTATACCAAAAAAGCACGCAGTTCAACTAGATCAACTTCAATCCAATCCTTCATTTTTTTCTCGTTCTTACTCTTATACGCAGCTATGAACTCAATGGCTCTCTTATTGGTATACTCAAGAATCATTGACATTATACTATCAGAAAAAAATAAATTGAAGGCATCCATGCATGTCTCAATATTTTGACTTTTCTTAGTTAGACCTACGTATTTCTGTAATAAATTACATGCCAATGTCTTACCCTTTTTTTGGAGCTAAATAACACCATGTTCGTCTTTCGCACAAAACATCAGATACGCTAGATCTTTCACTATCTATATTTTCAGAAGTTGTCGCTAAAACTTCCTCATTCTCGAGTTTAGTAATTGATAAATTACCTTCATGTGCTTCTGGCTCACAACCGTCATTATCACTCGCTTCACTATTGCTTTCATCCAGCTCTGCAACATCATCTTCTTCACTATCTAATAGGAGTAAGGCATACAACTCAGCTTCACTCAAAGGTTTATTCTTTTTCCACATTTTGATATAATACTGCACACTTCAAGATCGATGCTTGAATTAAATTGATCAACAAACGTGAAATACCGCTTTACACCAAAGTTAGACCTCTCGTCTCGGACGTTCCCATAGAATATGCCTATTAGACACTACATTACTCCCAAGGGTAACTTCTATCTACTAATATTTCTACAAACATAATCATTTTGCCTTGAATACGTTCACTGGGAAACAGAGACGGCTGCGTTTTACGTGTACCTACAAACGCATTGAAAAATTCTTCAAAATCCGAAGACCGGGTCAGGATTGACCCGACATCATAGATTTTACGTAGAGGAAAAACTGCAATTTGCATGTTTACGAATGATACACGAAAAAATAGATTGAAACAAATAAGGAGAACTTACGAACAATCAGATTTGTAAAAAAAATTATTTCATGAAATATTAAGAAATAAGTGAATTTCGGGTCACGCTTAACCCAGTCTTCGTACTCCGAAGGTTAAGGACCATCCTTTATATTGCACTAATAAGTTTTATTACCATTTTTATGTTATTTTCATTTTTTAACTTCTGCAACTCAGTTGGTGTATCATCTGGACCACAAGCTTTTTATATTTTATCATTTTTTTAAGAACTCACGACCACTAAATCTTTCTGCCAACTTCAAAATATCGACTCTACAAAACTTTAGTGATTGACTGTGTGGTAAAATATTTATACAGCATCAATTGTAAAGTGTTTGGTTCAGCATTGTAAGTTTACAAGCAAATTTAACATGTAATTTATTTTTAAAAGTGCCTTACGTAAAAAATATGGATTAGTGATGTGAGTTGTAAAATTACATAACTTACGTTACATAAATTACACGTAACTTACGGTAATATTACATGATACCCGTAACTTAATGTAATTTATGTAATTTTTGGAATTTACGTAATTTATGAAATTTAACGTAACTTATGATAAATTTACATAAATTACCGTAATTTATGTAATTACTGGTAAAATTACATATATTATGGCAACTTATGCGCGCGCAATTGTCGTAAGTGCGGTGCGCCGGTGCCGGCGCGCGCGAACCAGTGGGTGCTATTACGCTCGTCGCTCGTTAGTCGTTCCTTAGTCTGAGTCAGGCAGGTTATGTTTACATTTCTGTTATTGTATGTGTAATGTGTATGTATAAGTTAGTTTTCGACTGTTCTTTCTCTATTCATTCACGCAGCGTTGGTTACTTTACATTTATTTATAAGGAAGCACAGAAACTATAAGGTAAGAAATATATTATTTCTACAAACAGCAAAACACGTGCCGGTGATGTCCATAGCAACCTTAGATTGGGAAACACAGGGGCGGGCCTATCGCATATCGACTGTACGTTAAATCTAACGCGCGTCATTTTATATGTGGCTACAGTACTTAATTCTGAATTCGGTTTACCAAGTTTTATTCGATTTTTTAGATTAGTTTACTGTACAATAACTATAAGAATGATAGGAGCAACGGGGTACTTGTGCATGTAGCATGTGTAATTGAATTACACTGACATAACTTACTAAATAAAAAATTTTGATAACGTTGAGGGCAAAATAATGTAGTTGTCCGATCCAGTATTCTGCTTATTCGAATTTCATTAAATTGTTACACAGATTCAATTTTAATCTTTCTTCTATTTAAGGATGCCTAACAATTTTTTATGCCCTCGTGCCCATCAAATACTTTGAAAAATAATGTTTTTTCCCTTCTTAATGTTTAAGTCTACCTGAATATTTTTTTTAGGTCATAAAACATGGTGAAACGTAAGACAGATATCTGGCTTTATTTTGAAGTGTTACCTGCGGGTTCTTCTAATCAAAAGACCATAAATGTGAGGTGTAAATTTTGCAAGAGTGTACATGCAAAAAATGCTACAAGAATGAAATCTCATCTTCAACAATGCACTTATGTGCCGCATATGATAAAACTTAAATTCAATATTTTAACTCCAAAGTCAAAGGGGAATCACTCTAAATTTCCATTTGAAACATCCATGAAAAAGATCACATCGGCAAAATTGGATAACGATAACACTGATGCTGCTTGTACATCATCAACGGTTTCCACAGCATCAACATCTGCTTCTGATAACATTCATGTGGAAACACCTGTTTGCACAAAAATCAACAGAATACAATCATTTTGTGATCGAATGACACACGAACAAAATAACGAATTGAATATTTTGCTTGCTAGAGCTATTTACACCAGTTCAGCACCACATTCAATTACCGAGAATGAAGATTGGAAATTGTTTTTTAAAAAAATTAGACCTTCATACACCTTACCATCGAGATATATGTTATCAAATCGTCTCCTGACCGAAGAGTACGAGCGAGTTGAAGTTCAAGTTAATGATAAAATTAAGCAAGCTGACAATTTATCATTGCAATGCGATGGTTGGTCCAACTTGCGAAATGAAAGTGTAATTAATTTCATTGTTACAACACCCGAACCGTTATTTGTCAAATCAGTACTAACAAAAGCAGAGAAGCATACCGCAGAATATATAACAAAATTAATGGTTGAAGTTCTGGAGGAGTATGGACCTAAAAAATTTTTCGCTATTGTGACTGATAACGCAAAGAATATGAGGAAGGCTGTGAGACAATGTGAAGAGATGTATCCCCATCTTGTATCATACGGCTGTTTAGCGCACACATTACATTTATTGTGCAGCGATATTTTGAAATTATCTTCAATAGAGACACATTTGTCACATATTATACATATCGTTAAAACTATTAACCAGTGTCAAGTACTGAGAGCTCAATTCACAGAAATAAGAAATGAGATGAAGTGTGGAGTGTCTCTTAGCCTACCTGTAAAAACAAGATGGGGTTCACATGTAAAATGTCTTCAAGATCTGACTAAATGCAAGTCCGTCCTACAACGTCTAGCAATATCTCCAGATAAAACAATTCAAGATAGAATACGCAGCGCAAAAGCAAATTTACTTGATGAAGGATTCTGGATAAATTCTAGCGCTCTTGTTGAATTGCTTAAGCCAATTACTGAAGCAATAACACGTCTTGAAGGAGATTCTTCGTCAATTCATTTGGTTTGTGAAACTTTCGCGAAAATCGGTAGTAACATATCTACTCATTTAGAATGCGTGAAACTAACGGATTGCGAAAAAACAGAAGCGATGGATAAATTTATATCAAGGAAGGAATACGCCCTTCAACCGATCCATTTTGCCGCAGACTTACTAAACCCTCGGTCTGTTGGTGCAAATTTATCATCAGCCGAAAGGATTGAAGCGATGAAATACATTACTACTATGTCAACCACGACCACGATAGAGATTGGTGATGAAGGAGTGTCAAAGATTACTGAGGATTTAGGAAACTATTTAGCTAAAACAGACTTTTTTGGCGAAACATTTTTATGGAACATACTCGATAATGTCTCTTTGGTTACATGGTGGAAAGGATTTTGTGGACATTCATGCCTCTCCAAAGTTGCAGTCAGGATATTGACAATGCCGTGCACTTCTGCGGCAACAGAGAGAAGCTTTAGCTCCCAGAGCAGCATTCATACGAAGAGAAGAAATCGCCTAACAACTCAAAGGGCAGCAAATTTAAATTATATACAATATAATTCAAAATTGCTGAAACGTTCACGACAACATCACATACAAAGTCAATATCCTATAGAAGAGACTGTACAGAACAACGTTTCGATAGAAGGTAGAAACTTACAGAAGGAGATAGAAGTAATTGAAAACCATATTTCCGAAGAGGAAGAATTAGACGAGGTAATTTTAAATTTAGGCATTTTTTAGATATGTGATATGTGCATGTGATATATGCAGTTTGCTTCTTTTCCGATTTTCCAATGCATTCCACCGTTTTCGAATAAAAAATTATAAATCTTATGTTTTCAGACAATATCATCATGGCATTCAAATACAACAGGAAATGGAAATTCCGACGATGATTTTAATTTTGCTGACTTTGCAATGACCGATGATGAAATTGATCAAAGAATGGAAACTAGGGAACAGAGACCAGCACGCATTTTGAGACAAAGCAAAGTGAACATTTTAGAAAACGTCTTAATGAAATCGGTAAATTAGTGTAAACACATACATATTTATTGTTTATATTCCAAAATTATCAATTTCAGGGTAAAGGCACAGAACAACCCCAAAAAAAAACGGAAGTCGAGAAGGATACTTCAGATGCCGAAAACAAGGTAGTTAGATCTGTATATATTATATTATAAACCCATTATTTTTACTCTCTATGTTTACACTTTCCTATTTAATTTCAGGATGCAGTTCTGGATTTGCCGGAGATAAAAAAAATTACACAAGGCTCATTGGAAGAGCAAACAATTGAAACTTCGACGTTTTATAACAAGAAGGTCTCCAGTTGTCTGCGAAAAAGGAAGTTGTGATTTATAAAAGCCGCTTAAAACAAAACTAAAGAACCTATGTTTTCATTTCTTTATTATTTGTATGTATTTCTTATCCACTTTTCTTTATTTCATAAGTATGTAGTTACTTTGTGTTTATTATATTCAATATGAATGCAAACAATTGATTTTTTAATACAATGAACATAAATTACATAAGTTACATAAATTACATCTGGTTTGTAATTTTTGGGTAATTTTACACGTGTAACTTACAATTTCTGAAATTACACGTAATTTCACATCGCTAATATGGATATATCTTTTCATTGAAAACAACGTTTTAAATAGCTAGAGAGCATATACCATGATTGTACAAAAACGGAAATTAAAACGAAAACTCAACGTTAATGGAAACAAAGGCACTACTAAAGAAGCACACAATCATCATTATCCAGCAGTATATGGACGACAAAGAGCGAAACGCACAGAAAACTTTTTAATCACAAATTTTAAAACAAAACCTCGAAAGTTAGCAGAAGTGTACGGCATCAAGATAAACTTTCTGGATTTCCAAATGCAAATCAAATTTGAAATAATATCTAAAATTATACAACTCGTATTTTGAAGTATAAACGTTGAATATGATTTTTTTATTATGATCATTGATACTGTTCCGAAATAAAGTTACTACAGATACAGGCCCATAGTTGCGTTAACGGAATACATTGAATTCAAGTTTTTTTTATAAATTTTGGATAGTATTGTGTTAAGAAAGATTTAAAAATTCAAGAAAATGATTTCCACGCAGAAAAATATAATTGGAAATAGCTTTAAAAATAGCAAAACAACTATAGAAAAAATAAGTGAGGGGACAAAAAAGGAGCCTCCACGAGATCAGTAGTGCCACATCAACTGCAAAGTAAACACTATTGATGGCGTCCCCTGGAAACGGCTAATCCTTCCAACACCGGACCAAACCAAATGAGATGGCAAACATCAAGCCACAACGGTTCTTCTCAGAGTTCGTTACGCTCGTTTATGCTCACTGACAGCAGCGAGCATAAATATCAAGGGCATCACTACAGCCAATCAAGACATTTTATTAGAATTCTGCAAGAACACGAAATGTGAGGTAATATGAATCCAGGAAACCCACAGAGACCTAACTGCAGCGAGACCAAAAGTCTCTGGCATGAAACTGATTGCAGAGATACCACACAATAAGTATTGGAGCGCGGTATTTGTGAGAACTTAAACCATAGTCTCATCTGTGGGAACAACAAATGTACACGGTATAGAGATGATAACCATTCAGATCGGAAAATGCACAATAACCTCGGTATACCTAACTTTCAATCACAACCCAATCAGCTTGTACTGGGAGACTTTAACTGTCACAGTTTACTCTGGGGATATGCAGATTTGGACGCAAATGGAGACGCAGTAGAAGCATGGACCGACACGAGTGGCCTCACGTTAATCCATGATCCTAAACTTCCACCATATTTTCAGAGCAAAGTTTGGAAAAGAGGATATAACCCGGATATCTGTTTTTCAAGCAACAACCTCGAAGACCGATGTACCAAAGTAGTATATGGCTCTGTTAGAGAACTATATCTCCAAACCAATAATTCTATTTTGTATCAAATAATTCTATTTTCGCGTCGGTTACCTAAGTAAATCCAGACTACCTAGACCTTGTTTCTGAGAATGTTAATCCCCGCCCACAGCGCCTACTTGACAACAGACCGGATTTTCAAAATGCATAAACAAAAAAAATATTCCAGCGGGGCTAGTGATTTAGCGACTTTCGTAGGGCTAACATCTATATTTCAAAAGTTCGGTTACGATTCGGAGACAAACAAGCTAGGAACTCCTTTTACACTAAAAGAACTCCACGACGGTATGAATAGATTAAAAAACGGAAATCTGGAGGTGTGGATGATGTATGCAGGAGCAGTTTGGATCTTGCAATTTTGTAACACGTGCTGCAAAACCTGCAAAATTCCAAAATCATGGAGGGAATCTAAAGTAATAGCCTTGTTAAAACCAGAAAAGGACCTAGAAAATCCCAGTAGCTACAGATCTATTTCGCTATTGTGTCACTTTTTTAACTATACGAGAGACTCATAATTGCCAGAATAGAAAAAAATGTCGACAAGCACCTCATCCTACAACAAAGAGGATTCAGACCGATCAAATCTTGTACCATTTAAGTCCTCGCACTAACAGAACACGTTGAAGAGGGCTTTGAAGAAAAACTTATAACAGGGGCTGCTTTCGTATAGTTGAAAACAGCCTATGATACAGTAAGGCACAAAACATTGCTCCGCAAATTATACGACACTTTCAATGACCACCATCTGGGAAAGGTCGTATATTCCTTACTGCAAAATAGACGTTGTTTCGTTAAGCTGGAGGGTAAAGTAAGTAGGTCGAGAGTTAAAAAAACGGCCTCCCACAGGGAAGTGTTTTAGCACCAATGCTCTTTAAAATATCCACAAACGACCAACCTACTCCGATCGAAACCAAGCACTTCCTCTATGCTGACGATCTTGCAATATGTGCTCAAGGAAATAGTTTTGAAGAAGTGGAGGAGAAACTCGAAAATGCTTTAAAAACAATGACAGCGTACTACCTGCAGAATTCTATGAGAACCAAATTATATATCTTGGAGTAACTCCGGACTGGTCCCTCACCTACAGACTTAACATAAGGACAACCAAAATACTCGTAGTAAGTAAACAACAGCATATAAAACCGTCTATATATGTAAATAATGCGAAAATTGAGCAAGTTGATAAAATCGTTTACCTTGGACAGCAATTAAATTATAAAGCAGAAAATCACGGCGAAATTAGATCCAGGATAGAGCAATATAGAGCTGCTTTTAGAAGGATGTCCAAGGAGTTATGTAACGGAGACCAAAAATTGCGATTAAGGGTCCGCCTACTTTGCTGCTATGTGTTCTCGGTCTTACTTTATGCTGTCGAGTCCTGGACTGTGAATAAAATCGATCTAAATCGCCTTGAGGCATTCAAAATGTGGTGCTATAGAAGAATTTTAAAAGTTTCCTGGGTGGAGAAAATTCGAAACTCCACAATACTAGAACATCTCAGCAAGACTACTGAGATCGTAAAAAGCATCAAGCAGAGAAAGCTGGAGTACTTCGGACATGTAATGAGAGGTCCCTACAAAATATCATGCAAGGAAAAATAGCAGGCAAACTCAGTCCAGGACGAAGAAGAACCTCATGGTTGAAAAACTTGCGAGATTTGTATGGTGTTGATACAAGCATGCTGTTTAGGGTGGCAATGAATAAAATTAAGATAGCTATGATGGTAACCAACGTTCTGAAAGGACATGGTACATGAAGAAGAAGACCTGTTTTGGTTTTGGTGAAAGCGAGAAAGTTACCATCTATTTTCCAGTTTTTTATAATTTTGAGGACATAATGCTTCCATGTTGTGTCGAAAGCTTTTTTGTTGTCGAAAAATATTTCGATTACTTCTAGTTGATTTGTAAATGCTTTATGAATTTCGGATTCTAGTGCAACAATGTTACCAGCTGTTGATCTGTCTGAACGGTATCCGCTTTCTATTGGAGTAAAAAGATTTTTCTTTTCCAAGTGTCATTTCAGTCTTTTACTCAATATTCTCTCCATTGCTTTGAAAATGTTACTGGTGAGATAAATTGGAAGATAGGAGGATTTCGTCAGTTTATTATTACATACTCTTAGTATTCATTTAAGCAATATTTATTTTACCAGATTGTTGACTTTTGTATGAATTATAACCCATCTTTAAATTATGGAGATGCGGAATAAAATAATATTTTTCTTTATGTTCACATTTGCATTTCATAACTGATAGCAGCATATAACAATAGAGGTCCTCCTATATATTCAACTATAATGCACCATAAAGTTGACTTTATCGCTGCATAACATTTTATATCAATCTGAAATATTATTTTATATTTACAGCAGCTCTTAAAGGCAGTTCTACAGACAGTAATATTAAATTCAGCATAGTAGTAAAGTTTTACTAAACATTTCCATAAATAGCGTATGAGGGTATATGATTTTTCGCTTATATTTTCATAAATATCATAAAATTCGAGCTTCTACTGTATATGTTGTTTTTAAAGTTGATACCGGATGAAAAGGTTAAAGGTACGAAAATGGTTGTTTGCATGATATAGAGACCTTTGTTTTCCTTTTATTTGTCTACACAGTTTCTGAATTGGCAGCTATAAAATGGGTACAAATGAAATATATACAAAAACTAATGGAAACATATAAAATACTAAATATCTATATAATATCATAGCAGACTAAAGATCAGTATTATAAAATCTTGAACCAATTGAACGAACAAATTCTGAGTTACCGTCTTTTCCTCTCTATCTACCAGTTTTTATTGTCTGTACTATATTTTGATAAGGTCTTTGATACCATTGCTTTATTAAACTATAACCAGTGAGGTGCATTTTCAGTTATATTGAGCGTGATGTGGAGCCCCACGAGAGCCCCACCGGTTTAAAGCGAGAAGGACATCTCAGAAATCTATAGTAAAAGGAAGATCTTTATGAAGAGTCAGAGTATTTGTGTAGTTGTCGTTTTTGCTTTTATTATGAAAATGAGTCACGATGGATAACGGAATGAAAACGAGGCCAACAAAAATCAACCGAGGAGTAAGACAGGGAGATAGCATATCTCCAAAACTATTTACTGCCTCACTTGAAGACATCTTTAAATCACTAAATTGGGAAACGAAGAGACTATCGATAAACGGAAAGTATTTAAACCATCTAAGATATGCAGATGACGTAGTACTAATAGCCGACAGCTGGAAAGAACTGAAGACGATGATCGATGAGCTTCATACGGAATCGATAAAAAAAGGACTGAAAATGAATCTGAGTAAAACTAAGCTAATGTCGAATAAAGATGATCAACCGACTATACCCATCCAAGGAACAAAAGTGGAACATGTAGAAGAATACATATATCTGGTTCAGAATATCAAGGTAAACAAAGAAAACTAAACTACCGAAATAAGCAGACGAGTAAGAATGGGATGGGCCGCATTTGGAAAACTCTCATATATACTGAAAGACAAAAAGATACCCCAAAACCTTCGAACCAAAGTGTTCTACTCTTGTATCCTTCCCGTTCTCACTTACGGAGCTCAAACCTGGACATTCACAAAAAAGAACATGGACAAGATTCGAAAAACTCAGCGAGCCATGGAACGACAGATGCTTGGTATCTCACTAATAGATCGGCAAACGAATGAAGCAATCCAGAACAAAACAAAAATAAAGTACGCCGCGAAACAAGCAGCTAAATTAAAATGGAAATGGTCTAAACACAACCAACGTCTCGAAGATGGTAGATGGAACAAAGAAGTCGGAAACTGGCGACCGTACGATGCGAAGAGACCAAGAGGAAGACCTCAAATGCGTTGGAGCGACGATATCAAAAGAGTTGCAGGACCAATGTGGAAACGCCTAGCACACAACAGAGATGAATGGCGAGAAATGGGAGAGGCCTTTATTCGACAATTATTCTGATAGAAAAAGGGCTCAATATTTCTTCCTAACAATTTAAATGATAATAGTTATTTGCAGTTCTTGGCAAACGATTTACAAGAGTATTTGGAAGAAGTGAATTATGCAATAAGACAAAATATCTGGTTTCTACAAGATGGCGCTCCACCGCATTACAGTACTGGGGTCCAAGAATGCCTTTGCAGACAGTATCCTAGTCGGTGGATTGGTAAAAATCCTGAGGGACCTATTTCTTGGCCACCCAGAAGTCCAGGTCTTAACCCTAAGGACTTTTGCTTTTGGGGATTTATGAACGATAAAGTTTATTCTGTACAGATGATATATATTGGTGTCTTTTGATTCGTACTGTATTGATGACAATAGAGGACGAACAACAATTGAGGGTTAGAATAATTGAAGCTGCAAATCAATTTCGTCAGAAAAATATGATTTTTTAGCGCATTCGGGTTTCCTTACTAAAACGATACCGAATGTGTATTAAAGAAAATGGGGGTCACTTTGAACATTTATTGTAATATCATATTTATAGAGGTTCTAGACATTTAAGCCATTTATTTAGTTGCACATTATTTTTTAAAGAGTAATGAAAAGGGTCGTAACTCAATAAAAACTGTTTTTTGAAAACAGTGATAAGAGGCAAAATTTTTTTAAAAATGTTTGCAAATCAAATTAATTTGTTTTTACTAAAGACACTGAAGTGTACTTACATTAAAATCTGGTCAGCAAGACCAATTATCAATTTGTTTCTAACTTAAATTACTAATGAAAACTTAAAATTAGGTGTCTACTCACTAGTATCTTCCGATTATTTCTAATAACTAGCATTAAATTTAGCATGCATACTCGCACAACACTTTGCTCTGCTTTTCACTCACTCACTATACCAGTTCAAAAGGCTTTGTTCTTTTGAGCCTTCTCTCTAGGTTCGTATTGTCGAGGAGCTGGATAGCCTCGACCTTTACATGATGATGGAGTCGTTGTTCATGGCTCCCTGCAAATTTCTTGATTATTTGATTGCCATCTTCCATCTTGAGGTCCCGGTGAAGATCGTTGTTCCTAACGTACCAAGGCGCATCTACGATGTTCCTTTGCACTTTATTCTGGAATACCTGGATTACTTTGATGTTACTAGGCTTGGCACAGCCCCAGAGTTGGCAACCATAGGTCCATACTGGCCTCAGTATTTGTTTATAGATTAGGAGTTTATTATTTGTGGATAGAGAGGAATACCTTCCTATCAACCAATACATTTTTTTGTAGCGGATGCCTAGTTCTTCTCTTCTTTTCTTCTTCACGTGAGCTTTCCAGCGAAGTTTCGCATCAAGAGTGATCTCCAAGTACTTTGCTGATGTTGCAATAGGCACTTGGACATCATTTATTCTAATTGGAATATTATTAATTCTCTTATTGGTAAAATTTATATGGACTGATTTATTCTCATTCAGCTTAATCTTCCATTTTTTGGTCCATTCATGAATTTTATTTATTGAATTTTGTAGTTTTTCTGTAGCTTCTTCGACGGTGTCACTTACTGCTAAGACAGCAGTGTCATCTGCAAAGGTAGCTATGGTGTCGTCTTCTAGTTCAGGTATATCACACGTGTATATTAGGTATAGGACTGGAGCCAATACACTCCCTTGTGGAACACCTGCTTCAATATCCTTGAGATCAGTGTATGCATCTTCTTGTTTAACTCTAAAATGTCTGTTCGCTAGATATGATTGTAATATATTTGAATATTGTTTAGGCAAGAATGATTTAAGTTTGTGTGTCAAACCGTTATGCCAGACTTTATCAAGCGCCTGTGCCACATCTAGGAAGGTTGCAGAACAGACTCTTCTTTTCTCTAATGATCTTTCAATTATTGCAGTTATTCTATGCACCTGGTCAATTGTCAAATGCTTATTCCTAAATCCAAATTGATGATCTGGAATTATTTTCTTTTCTTCAATTATTGGTAGGATTCTTTGCAGGAGTTTTTCAAACACCTTGGACATCGCAGGTAGGAGTGATATTGGTCTATATGATGTCATTGGGGGGTTTCCCAGGCTTTGGTATCATGATCACTTCAGCTATCTTCCATAAATCTGGAACATATTGTAGTCTGAAGGCAGCATTTATTAAATTTGTTAATTTTACGATAGCTTTTCCTGATAGATTTTTTAGCAGTCTTCCGGTAATGAGGTCATAACCTGGTGCTTTATTTGGGTCAATTTGTTCTTTAATTAACTCAGCTACTTCTTTTGGGGAAGTTGGCTTGATATTCTCATCTATTTGCTTTGCAACTTAAATGTGTTCTCTAGATGAGTGGCAAATCTCTCTGCCTTCTGCTGATTATTTCTGGCCCAACTACCGTCTTCCAGTTTTATTGGAGAAGAATGTAATATCATTGCATTTGAACGTACTCAAAAGTTTGGGGGATTTAGGGCTTCACACCCCTCAACTTCAAAGGGCTTTAACTTTTTTATGTACAGTTTTTTACTAACGTAAGTTGGATTCAATCAATTTATTTTTTGTCCCCAAAATGCGTGATTTAATTTATGACATACCTTTTTTAAACACCCTGTATATTCCACCCTGTGAGTGTGACATAAAATGATTATTGGAAATGCCTGAAATATGCATTTATTTATTAAAAATAGTCTTTACGTGTCTTCCTACCTATAGTTTTTATATTAAAATCTACAATATCTTTGTGTTATAGCCAATAAAGCTCTGAAGCTAACCCCGTTTATTTTCAGATAATTGCGAAAGAACAAGGACTGGAATGGATGAAAATAAAGCGGTTATCGGAACTCCAGCAAGCTCTTTCCGCCGATCTAGCCAAGATGATTTCTATCGTTCAGTCGAGTTTACACGAACATCCCTACACGAAGGAAGAGATCGTGACTGAACTAGAAACGACTTCTCAAGTGCTGGAAGAGACATCTTTAACCCCGAACACGAAACACATCAAAAGTTTTAAACTGCGGCAAAGAGCACTGCATGTGTTTCATGGTGAGTATGCGTTGAATCTTTTGTTTGTAAACTATTTCGTCCGGAACAACTGGCTTAAGTGGATACGAATTTCATCCAGACACGCTGGCTTAAGTGGATAGGGAACTTTGCGAGATCATTCGTCTTGTGCTCCGTGGTGGTTTCGGTGTTAGACTTAAATAAAACAGGGATTAAAAGACAGATGTGATGTATTTATATAAATCTTCATTAAAACACGTACAGTGGGAACTGCTTATTACACAATCAAACTCAGAAATTATGTAGAGAGCGTTGGCTGCTTTACTTTTTTCTTATAAACCTCAAATACATGTGAAGTGTAACTGTGAATAAAATTAATTGTCATAAAGTCAGAGACGAGTTTGGAGGGACTGGCTAAAATAAATTTAGAAAATATTTTCGAGCAAATTTAAAAATTTAATACGATCATAATAACGATCATCATCGTTATTTTTGAGTAGAATAGTTTAGATATTATAGACCTTCTTGTGTTTACATAAAATCAAAAAATCATAAAATTTTATTTAAATACTTACAATCCACATAATATACGCGGAGTTATTAGTGGAGTAACGTACACTAGAGTTCAACTTATTTACATTCAATTGATGTACATATATATACCTAGGGTGACCATATGTACTTTTTTTAGTAGGACAGTACTTTCTTTTCAAACGCTGTCCTATTGTACTTTAAAATTTATGAAGTACATCTAAATGTACTCTTTTTCTTAATTACACAAAATTAAGTCCTACTTTTTGTCCCAACAAAATATAATTATGATTCGAATTGATGCGCTCACTGTTGATTACTTTTTACCGACACTTTTTCTCGTTTTTTTTTATATTAGTTTGTGCTGTGTGGAAAAATAAACAATTTCGTCATGTCACCGCCTAGAAGAAAATGCCATCTTAACGTCGAATTGCAAGTAGAGTATCCTTTTATGAAACAAAAATCAAATGTTTCACCGCATATTGTGTTTTGCCAAGTTTGTAAAAGTGAAGTTGATATTTCTAACAGTGGTCACAGTAATATCAAATAACATTTGTCAAAGAAAAAACACATGTTGGCTACTAATGCGAACTCGAAGAGCAGCAAATTGAAAACCTTTGTTAAAAAAGAAAATTTAAGTTCTGAAAATATATTGATAGCTGCCAAGGAAGGTACTTTTGCTTACCATAAAATTAAGCATTTGCAAAGTTTCAGATCCTTAGACTGCACATCAAAACTAATTGCAAGCATGTCAGAACCTACATTTGCGGCATCTCGAACCAAGACTGAGGCGATTGTTAAAAATGTTTTAGCTCAATAGGCTCAATCCCAATTAGAAATTGACCTTCAAAAACAAAATTCATCGGAATGTCTGCTGAAAATACAAATAGAAATTTTGGCGGAATGAGAAAAAAAGGAGTGAATAATCTATTCAGTAAATTAAATGCTTCTCGTGGTAAACCCGTGATTGGAATTGGTTGTGTGGCACACATTTTTAATAACTGTTTACAAAATGCGACGGTCGTCTTACAGTCAGAGTGGAGAAATTAAAACAGTACAAAAAATATTGTCGTTTTCAAAAATAAGATTTTTGAGCCTAATGCCAGCCACTGAACCAATTATACAAATGTTCGATACCTTAAAAGCATATTTTTTGTCGATTGATAATTGTCCAACAGTTCTAAAACAGTTTTTTCAAAATCCAATAAGTGAAGCATGGATGTGGTTTGTGCATAACATTGCGTCTCTGTTCCACAAAGTGATTTTAGATGTAGAAGGCGACAAAATAAGTGCAATGGAAGCCGCTTTGGAGTATTTCGAACTTATAAATAAGCTTCAAAATCGCTTAAATAAGTTATTTTTACCGCTTAAAGTAAGAAAGTCCCTTTCAAAACTTGAAAATATGGAAGACCTTGACCTTAGTGTGAACTATCGGGATATCTTTATCACGCATGTCAAGCAGTTCTATTCAAATTGTGTAACATATTTGAAAAACTGGAGTGAAAATTTAAGTGAACTAAAGCTATTTGGATGAGTTAACTGAAATTTTATCGTCGTGTAAGGCTTTCAAAGACTACGTAGGTCCGATATTGAATCAGGATGAACTGTTTGATGAAGTGATGAAGTTAGTCTAATACGAACCTACGTTACAGAAAATAAAATCACAGACTGGAATTCGAAAAATATTTCTACCGAAGATCGATGGCTCGAAATCTTCCAAAAAGAAAGGGCTTTGAAAAATCTCAAAATTCTATGTAAGTTTGTTTTTTGTCTGTCGGGACCAGTGCGTCGATTGAGCGGTTGTTCTCAAATATCAATAACTATTGGAGTCCCAACGAATCGCAGTTGAAAATATCTACTCTGGAAGCCATCATGTAAGTCTACACAAACTTCAAAGTTTCGTGTAATGAAATGTTTCAGTTCCAACAGTTTCAGTTCGCAAAGAGTAAATCACAATTTCTGAAGGAAACTCATAGTTCCAAAAAGTACGACTGGTACCAAAATGATGATCAAGATGTTCAGGAAGGAACGTAGAAAGAAAATTAACTATTAAAATTTATCATACATTTTTTATGTACTTATGTTTAATTAAAAAATCGTTCTTATCATTGTTTCATTAAAGATTCATAAAATTTTGGCCAGAAAAATTTCCTAGGGCACTAGCAGTGTACATATTTTCTTAAAAATTATAAATGTACTTTTTTTTTGTTGAAAAATTATGGTCACCCTATATATACCTATACATCGGTTTAAAACGTTCTCCTACATCTTCCGATACCCAGTTGTCGCTCCTCTCGGTTCATCCATAAGTCTTCTTCTATGTCTCTATCTTTCATTTCTCTATTGATGCCTTCTCTCCAACTAAGACAGAGTCTCCATTTTTTTTGTACCGTTAAGACTTGTTTTGGGAGACGTTTTTCAGACATTATTTGTACATGACCCTATAATCTAAGTTGTTGGGTACCAATATCGTCTACTATGTTTTACTTTTATAATTCTTTTTATTCTGTTGTTCGTTACTCTTTCTAGTCTAGATTTTCCAGCTAAACGTCTCCAGAAATCCATTTCCGTGACCTCAAGTTGTCTCTTGTATCTTTCCTTTATTTGCGATACTTTACTATTGCAGGTAGTTATACTTTTAATGATTGTATTGTTTCGTTGCTGTCTTTAATTTTGGCCTATCTTCCCTTGGGAGTTTCTCGAAATATTGGTCCCATTCATTGTCATTGATTGTTATTGTTGACACTATGTCTCTTCTCTTATTTTGTCGTAAAGATTTGAAGACTCTCCAACTTTCTGTGCTTCTTCGTCCTCCTAGATGTGAATGTATCATGTTACACTTGAACCTAAACAAAATTTTGCAAAAACTTAGAGACGACCCTGATTTGCCTCATACCGGACGAACTAAACTGTGGCAAGTTTTAAAAAAATTAAATTTCCGGTGGGAGAAATCAGACCGAAAATCACTTTTGATTGACCGGAAGGAGAATATATGTTGAAAAAGAAATTATCTAAGATTCATACGAAAATTCCGGGCTGAAGGAAGGCTAATCTTCTTCCAGAATAAAACGTGTGTAAACTCAGGTCATACTCTAAAAAAAATTTGGTCAGATAAAAATATATTAAGCTCCAATGGAAGGTTGGTCTACTGGTATCTCCCCACCTTCTGGTAAAGGCAGTAGGTTAATAATTTCTTACATTGGCAGTGAAAAATGATTTGTTATGCATGGTTTGTTGGAATTTCAGTTTAAAATCACAAAAGACTATCACGAGGAGATGACAACTGATGTTTTCGAAGAGTATTTTGAGCAGATGATTGAACACATACCACCAAATTCAATTATAGTATTAGATAATGCACCTTATCATTCACGACTAGTAGAAAGACTTCCAACGACTGCGTGGAAGAAACAGGATATTCTTGACTGGCTGCGGAATAACTATCTGCCTTACGAAGATGGAATGGTAAAAGTAGAACTTTTAAAAATTGAACGGCAACACCTCTAAAATCCATGAAATCTAAGTTCAAGAAATACGTAGTTAACAAAATGGCGGAAAGGCCAACGTATTATATTATTATTATAGTACTAACGACTTTATTTCTTTTTATAATTTTATTTACAGTATACAAAATTTACATATGTGCCATAACCATGAAATGTATATGTTTAAATTCATTTAAAACTAACAAAAAACTTTTTGTTTCTTGCAACGACCAGGGGGCGGATGCATTTTTAAATTATTAGAATACATTTCCAAGTTAAATTAGTGTTATGTATGGAAATAATCGCAAAATATTCCGTCGATGCTCTGCAGACTTTGCATCCGAATAGAGTTGAATAATTAGTTTCACTGCGTTTTGTGATTCAGGAAAAACAACGGTTGTGTTGTATTCGAGATGTTTTCAAAAAAGATTTGGTGAATGTAGTTACATCACGTCAATTATCTTTTGATGATTATGAGAACGCTTTGTTTTTATCTATTCAAAGACATATTCAACGATAAAATTAACCGACTTCTTCTTCTTCTTTCAGTGCCTATTCGTTCCGAATATTGGCAATCATTCTGGCTTTAAATATTTTATTAACTGCTGCTTTAAATAAATTCGTTGTTGTTGTGGAGAACCATTTCCTCAGGTTCTTCAACCATGATATTCTCCTTCTCCCAATTCCTCGTTTTCCGAATACTTTACCCTGTAGGATTACCTTCAGTAATCTGTATTTAGTGCTGTTTCTCATTATATGTCCGAGATATTCCAACTTTCTCCTTTTAATGGTATACATCACCTCTCTTTCTTGGCCCACTCTTCGTAATACGGTCTCGTTGGTTATCTTGTATGTCCATGATATCCTTAGAATTCGCCTGTATAGCCACATCTCGAAAGCTTCAAGTTTTTTCTCCATTGCTTCAGTTAGTGTCCAGGATTCAACTCCGTAATACAATATTGAGAAGATATAACATCGTAGGAGCCTTACTTTTATCTCCAGATTAAGATTGTGGCTTTTAAAGAG